CTTTGAGTCAACCTATTCTTATGTGGTACCCATGGTAGTGTGACTTTGAGACGTTGTGCTACTGCGCTCTTTCCGCTGCCGGTCATTGTCAGAAGTACCGACCAAAAATAGTTAAGAATCAACGCTGGCCACATTCCAAATTTTCACGTTGACACCTCCCAGGTGCAAGCTGTTTTACGATTGCTATCTTCGGTAGTTGAATACTTCCCAGCTTTTACGTCGAAAAATCATGTATGTTATGTATCACTAACAAACCAAGGGGATGATATGCTTTCAGCCGGTGAGCCTTCTCCTCAGTGTTGCGCTGTTGCAATTCTTGCAGGTGTTCGCGTCGCGCTGTGAGGTCATGATAAAGATGCAAATGTCGCCTGCAGGATGGGAATCCCAACTGCGCAGGGTTGCGATTCCACTGACGGTCATGGACAAGCAACATCCTTTGTGTAAATATTCTTTGCCAGTTTCAAGTAAATTAAACATGTGCATGTACATGACTGCGCGCGTGCACATGTATGTTATACTGTTATGTTGCACTAGAACATGCATCGGCATCCTCTCACTGTGTGTCTCACAGCCTCTCAACTTATAGATTGCTCCAACTGAATACACATGCGGATAATTGTGCATACGTGTTTTGCAAAACCCGATGCCCGTGGATTTATGCTCTTCTTTGTTCCTCAGCTATTGAGGCTGGGACGGCACCAATGGCTCTTCAGCTAGGCCTCGGGAGGACAGCTGTGGAACGGGGCTGAAACCCAGAATAGGATGAGGCTCAAGATGCTACACGGTGTTTCTGCACCACAAAGATGCAGCATGATGCAGCTCAAAATGTAAGCCCAAAGCCATCCAAAGCCTAGAGCCCCGATATGCCCTGACAAAAAGCTACCTGCGACGGCAACATCCGCCACCCAGCAGCTGTCGCTGCGGCACTCGTCGCACCTCCCACTCTGAGTGCCCCTGACGTTCGCGATAACCTTGGGGTGGCACTGCACGGCCGTGTGCTGCACTTTCTATCATCCAACCCGTATATAATCCACTGTCATATAATAGCTCACCGTTGTTCACCAAGCACCAAGTTTAAATTGGTCTCAAAATTGAAACGATTTGCATTCATCCATAGTGTTGGCATTCATACGCATCATTTCGCCCTGCTTTGTCTTGGCAGGAAACGCATGCTTTGGAAGCCTCCAATCTACTGAGAAACTATGTTCATGAAATTATGTGCCAAGATGCTGGTCTTGCAAAACAAGCCCCCCTCTACCCAAAAGATTGCCAACCCCCAGCTGGAATCACCAGGCCCGTGCTACCAACCTGCTACTAGCAGTGCAACATGGGCAACCAACCACAAGCAAAACAGACACACACACACATATACACACGCACACACCCACACTCTTGCTCAGAATTGCTTATCGAATCGGCTTGTGAAGTTAGAATGCATCTTACGTGCAAAACACAGCAGCAGTAAACCTGACAGGAAAAAAGGAGCGTAGGCAGGATTTGAAATTCCATCGTCGAAAATTCCATTGTACACACAAATAATGTATACCCACCATAGATCATAGAGGAGAATTGGAAGCTGACTCTTCCCTTTCAAATCTTTCAAGTATCAGATTGCGACAACTGTGCAGTGTAGAAATTCCAAGCTCATGTAATGACGAAAGATCAAGGCTCGTGTAATCGATAAGGAAATTGGGCAAAGCGGTTCTTGGGTTAGCCATTTCCAATCACGAAGTCGAAATGCAGGTACGTTTACACCCCCATGCTGTCTGGTCTTCGTTAGCCAGGACAGACAGCCATAGGTTCGGGCCCCCCTCCATGAAACGTAAAAAAAATAACTTCGAGACTTGTTCATCAAGAAGTCCACAGGTACAAGTTTTACATTTTGCATCTATTGAGATATGTTGCGCGCGCACACACACATAATCATACTTCCCATGACCAATAGTTAGTACGACAAAATGCCCATTTCATTATATCATCCATGTTCATCTGATTGGAGGGATATGATGTTTATGTCGAGCATGTCTACACGTTTCTGCCAGTTCCATGTTTTTGCGGTCTCCTGAGGTCTCCTGAGGTCCTGACCTAAGCGTCGACCTTCCTTTTCGCCCCGCAGCCGCGCGCTGGGCACCGGCTCGCGTGAGCTGGACCGTGGGCGGGGCTTCTCCTGGCTTAAACGTGGACTCCGGTTACACCGGTTAGATTGTTGAAATTGACCCAAACATGGTTATATAATTTAAATAACACAAGATAACCAAAATAAAAGCACCCCAAACCAGAATTCAGAATGCTTTCCTGTATGTTTCGTGTCAACTATTGTGGGAAGTTCCAAATTGGACACAAATAATCCGAAAAACAAGAGCTCCCAAGCTTAGAGCATTTTGATCTATGTGTGCTATCGTTATATATGAAGAATGGTTCTTGAATGTTCTTGAATGCTTGTGGTCACCTGTCGTACGAATTATGAATTGGCCCGCTTTGATCTTCCGATTTGCATGGTGACAGGAGGCGGCTTCAGATGAAACCAAACAGAGACACCTGTTCAAAATTATCTTTAGGCAATTTTTCTGCATAGATTGGCGAATGAAATCCCATATTTCTGCTCTGAAGGATGCTTGCAAGTGCTCAAAGACATGTCCAAGCAATATCATCATCCTGATCTGCGCCTGCATGTAAACCTTGTCTGCTGGCACATGCAAGCTTCTGCGCTCTTTAAAAGCAAACAAACTAATCTTCCACAGTAGAGCCGCAAAGAAAGCTGCCGCAGAATATTCGATTTGGAGTTCTAGGAATCTTCCAAGGTTTCAATATGTTTCAATATGTTTCAATATGTTTCAATATGTTTCAATATGTTTCAATATCACCCTTGTCACATCTTGTCACATCTTGTCACATCTTGTCACATCGTTTCAATCTGCGCTCAATTGGGCCATTCAACCGGTGCGCTGCACCTTCGATGGAGAAGCCGGCGCCTCGTTCTGTTTCATCGCCTGCCAAAGCGGTCGCTGGGGATCCAGATTTTCTCCGTGGTCAATGCTTTGGTGTACTTTGTCGCACCAAAAATCATTGGTCCACAAAGTACAACTTTAGTGAAACCTTTAGTCTTTAGTCCAATGACTACTCTTCATGATATATGTTCAACAAAGAACTGCAGGGGTATCATCGCAGCGAGCTAGCATGACAATTGCCAGGCTCTACTTTCTTATGAAGAAAAAGCAAGAATAAGCACGGGTCTGAGGATTGCTGCCAGCTCAAATTTGTCGGCAAAGTTACCATATAGTTACCATCGCTGCTTTCCAATGCTTTCCATGTTTCTCAAAATTCGGTCGAAATCCGTGGAATCGTAATCGCGCGGTCATGGTGGACAGCATCATAAGTGCCAAATCTTCACCCATCTGTTGAAGTCCCAGGGTTTGCTTTGAGTAATAGATCATCATAAATCATCAAATGCTAGATCCTCGGAATCTTCAATTCTACGAAACGTCCGTTTCTACGTTGCCCTCATGTTGCCACCAGGGCTGAATCAGCATCTGGTATAATTTTGTATAATCCACCAAAATTGGGTACAATATGGTGCAATAAGAAGGACTCCTAAATTATGAGTACACTGAGCTGGTTCATCACATGTCCCATATCTAGATGTTTTGCATACGGATGCCATGGTCAATTTCCCATGATTGTTGAACACCCCATGGTGTAAGTGCGCTTTGACCCTGATCGATGGTCCAATCCCCTCCTGGACATGAATTCTTTATGGTCCTTTCATGCTCTTTTGATCCGTGACACCACTGGAGTCATTTTGGAGTCGCAGATGACAAGGGCCAGCTGTGGGCGTGTCGGCCGGCACACTGCAATAGGGATACGGACTTAAATAAGGGCCCGCGTGTGCAAAAAGCCGAAGAACTGGCAACCTTATCTTTCAGCATTGTGTTTACATTGTTCACAGATTTTGCATGGTCTTCATATGTCTTCATTTATCTCTGTGTTGTTTTTTCCAGAGGAGACACTCTGCTCTCCTTTTTTGAGTGTGCATTTGTGGATTTGACTTCCGATCACGACCGAAGATATCCCATCTAAATCATTCTACAGCTTCTACAGCTTGGTTGCCATGGTCCCATTTGGACCACGCGGCGCACGATGCAAGATTAGCGGTGTTGCAAAGTCTAAAACAGTCGGTTCAAAATAGTTCAGACACTCGTGCCGGGGAATGGCTCAATGGATCCAAAGGGCATGGGAATCCCACCCGGGAGAGCCCACCAGGATCAGGTTTAGACTAAGGGTTAGACTAATTGCAGCATCATTCCAATGCAGCGCGTACAGCATATTCAAGATGAACAGATCGAGCTTCAGCCCCGCCAATGTGGCCAGTCCCGGCAGGTTCGGGATGCACCCGTGAAAATGGGCCTGCAGGTCTCTGACCTTGCTGCCCATGGCAAGAAGTCGCACTGAGCTCTATTTGAGCTGATGTCTTGCAGGGCCATGTTCTCAGCACAGGGAATTGCTCCAAATTATTTCAGGGTCAAAGACGGTCAGCGGTTTCAGTCAAAAGTCCATCGCACACATATTGTTTCTTGAATTTTTTTGGTCGCTCACTTTAACTGGCTTTCAGGCCTGTTGTCACCTGCTTTTTGCTGTAGGTTGTTCTCAACAGCTTTACCACTTCAACTGCTTGCAACTGCCACCAAGGCAATCTACACGCTACCTGCTATTCAAATCCATTATATATACTATATCTATTTATCGGATTTAAACAAGACACTGCTTTTCTGGAGGCCAGTGCGGTTCGCTGGCATCATGCATTCTGGGGGCAGTTTAGGTTTAGGAGTTACAGCGCCAACCCGCGCAGCCAACAATGACCCATTTTCGCTGAGCATGCTGGTTTCAAGGGAAATTGAGTTTTGCTCACTGGTTCTTGTCTTAGTCTTGGTGAAAGAAAACCCAAAAAATAAGTGAACCTACCCCAATCTTTGCATTTGATTGCTTTAGTTTTCTTATGGTTTGAGCCTCCCACTTCCTGTGCTGTCCGAAAAAGGCCCTCACAAATCTTTGGTCATCGGCAGGCGTGGCATAACTTTGCTCTCTTCTCTGGAGCTCAATCTGGAGCGGAGCAACTCTTCCTTCGGCAAGCTGTGTAGGAACTCGGTTGGTGCCATTTGACATGTACATGTGTGATCACGTATGTGTGTGTGGATCATTCCTACGGCGGTTAAAATGTTGGATAGTCCAATCGGTTGGCTCAGAAGTGGACATAAAATATCAAGGATGGGTCGGTGTCATCGCTGATGTGCTGGTAAATGTTTGACCCCAATACCAATCGCACATCAATTTTCTCAGTGAAACCTGGAACACTCCGAAAAGGCGTGGGATTGGCCTAAACTTACAGAGGGCTCCACTTGACAACTGCCGCCGCAAGACACGTTCAAGGCTCGAATCCGACATTAAGAATATCCAAGTGTGAAACGGGACGTTTTGTTTTGCAACTTGTATGTGAAATTTGTATGGGGTGCCAAAGCATGGTAAAACCATGTAAAACCCAGTGGGAAAATCATCTTCCAACCCACCCACTTTGTGGGATGTTCCATTGAGTTTATATGACGGGTCCTTGAGAAGGTTGAGTTCCGACTCCATAAAGCTTTCAAATCTTGACATGTGGCTGATGAGCCACCTGGACAATGAGAACGGCCAAGTGGTCAGAAAGTTGATCCAACCACAGAATATATTGATATCATGTGTAACATACGTACATACGTGTATATATATACATATATATATATATGTATGTATAAATATATAATTATATATACATATATATATAATATAATATAATATATATATATAATATAATATATATATATTATATACGTATGTACATCTATATTAATTATATACAGTATATTTGTTGTCACCTACATTTGCCTATGAATGAAATCCGTCTGAAAATCAGATCCATTCCAACCCACAAACCATTCTCAAGCATAACCTCACGCCTCTTGATGCATTTCTCTTAGAAAATAGGACGTGCTTTTCATTTTATTTGCGCGGAGGAGAAGTTCATCGATGCACTAACTAGTGGAACTGGCCCACAAGACGAACTTCAATTGCACAGTAGTTGACAAACACCATTATATACCCGAATTGGGAAGCCCAACTGACAATTCCTGTGGCGCTAAAAGGCAATACACACCGCAAGGAGCACCAGAAATGACCATCTGAAAAAGGGGACGTCTTTCTCTGGCACCTGAAAACGAACTAGATCTAACATGATCTAACTAGGTAACTAGCCCGTAACTAGCCCGTGGCTCCGAGTGGCTCCAAATGCCCGGCCTTTGATCTTGGATGATCTTTGCCACATCCATGGCGCGGGCGGTGCCGCGGAAGCGCAAGCATCCCATGAAAAACTCTTCCACCTGTGGCGAGAAAACAAGTCATGGTCATCCCTGAATCAAAAATCAAGACAAATGGTTTCCGTTAATTATTTGCCCAGTCATTAAAGGCAACAGCTAGGTCTTTAATTCTGTTGATAGATGTCTCCTAGCACGCTCTTGAACTCGCATTTCTGCGATGTGAAGCTTGGGAAGACTGAAAAATGATAGCATCACAATGCAGTTTGTTCTCCATTTCTGCGATTGCACACCATCACTTCACTACAGTGGATTCTATAAACACATTGCTTAAAAAGGGAAGCACTTGAAAAGTTCTATCGAATGCAGCAGTGGCAAAGGCAGACCTGCTCAAAAACAGTCAAGGACCACAATCTTTTGGGCAACAATCAGCTGCTTCCCAGGAAAATGGGGAAAAATCAGCTGCGAGCTGCTCCACCAGCTATGTGGGTACACTTCCACACCTCTACCATTCCTCCTCCGTCGGTATCGAGTAATTTGAAAAAGGTCCAGGCATCCCAAATGTCCTAAGACAACGGCGGATACTGACTGCCAGAATACACAACACATAATAAAACATAACAAATACAACGCCGTTAATTGTTGCACTTCGCATTTCGCAGTGTGAGTCCCTGAGCTTCCCAAAGTTGCAGGTTTTGAGGGACCGAGGGACCCGTCACCTTTTAGAGAACCTGCCACACTGTGGGTCTCCAAGTGGCCAAATCCAAGGATTCGAAGAATGCCCGCACATCCTCAGAGTTTGAGCATGGGCCAAAGTGCTTGGCATACCCATGGTGAACCCAGACGAGTGATGGCTTTTAGCGGAATCTCCCCCACAGGTAATGGACACTATCGGGTGAATACCCATAAATGATCTCCAACCACATCTGGCCTTTGTCACCGCATTGAAATTAATTATGACTGTTCTGTGAACCAAGGAAAAGTGCCCCTGTCAAGCAAGAAATATAAAGAGTTATAAAGTTATAAAGGCCCCATTCTGCGCAAGGTGTTAAGCTCGCAAGGTCTTGTGGTTCAACTTTGACTTAGTGTCCAGTCTGGCGTATGCACAGAAATCAGAAGGTTATTTGATGTTCTTCATTGTTCATCTCCAATTATTATTGACAATTTTGATGTTTCTTGAGTTCAACCACCCACAAGAACAGAGCGTGAACTCACCTCAACTGGTTTCAGTGGGCAAGTGTCTGGGTCATTGATCTTGTCTTCAAACATTGCAAATGTGATGCAGCCTGCCATGTCCGGACCACGGAAACTAGTGTCCATGACAAAAACCAACATTGACGACGAACGAGCAGCACCTCTAAAACCACCTGAAACTACCTTTGCACCTGGCCAGTATTACAGTTCCAAACAAGTTCGAAAATTCAGTACATCACTGCGGCAAACGGTTGGTCAGTCAAAAGCGGGTTTTCCCTGACCTGTTTCATCTGCACCCATTCTTTTGAAGAGTTGTTTGATCTTGTTCAGATGCGTCTCCTGCAACAATCACCAGCGCAATCAGCAACCAACTTCATGGTGGCCCATTGAGCAAACAAAACTAAACGCGACAAACATTTTGCATACGATAATATGTATACACATTTGCATCTAAATGCTGCCAATTGGTCGGAGTTTGCCTTTGGTATTGTTATTTTGTTCGCGTGTGTGGGCATACCACCTGCTCGCATGCAATTTTCCACATGTGTCAAGGTATGCTTCAGGACAAGTGAACATTGTCTAAACACCAAATGTCCTTGTTGGCCATCATCGACTGCATCATTGTGGCCTGATCATGCTGCGCGCTTTCTATAGCGCTTTGACCTCAATTTCTGGCTGTGGCACAACATAGAATCCCCCTGCCACCCATTGGTAAAACTGTGAAAACTGTTTCCCGAATGGGTAGCAAAGGTTCTCGTTTCACTCTGGGGTCTTGGGTGTGTTCGCTCGACTTTGCGTTTGCGTCCGCAACCGTCCGTAAACGTTCACAACCGTTCGCAACCGTCCGCGTGAGGGCCCTATGGCCGCAACTCTTGATGAGTTCTGCAAAAATGTTCAATTTTGGGCATTTCAAGCGTTGCGTAGCCTCGTTTCGCGTGGCAAGCGTGGCACTTTGCGACATTCCAACATGCTTGATAAGGTGTCCAAAGTCGTTCTGTCTGGCAGGCACAATACTTTTACTTAGTTTTCAGAAGATGGCTTCCATTTTTCGTGGCAGGCGCAACACTTTGGAGACCTCTATCGTCATTTCGCCGGGCAGGCACAGCACTTTAGATGTGCGGAATGCTACTTTGCGTGGCAGGCGCGGTCTAGTGTGCACAGTGCGGGGTGTAAAGTGCCGAGTGTAGAGTGCACACTGTGGAGTCTGAAGTTTAAAGTGTAGAGTGTCAAGCGTAGAGTGTGAAGTGCAAAGTGTGCAGTGCAAAGTTTAAAGTATAGTGTGGAGTGCGGAGTTTCAAGTGTAGAGTGTGAAGAGTAGAGCGTGGGGTGTAGAGTGTCAAGTGTAAAGTGTGACGTGTACAGTGCACAGTGTAAAGCGTAGAGTGCGGAGTGTAAAGTGCGGAGTGTGGAGTGTAAAGTGTAGAGTGTGGAATGTCAAGTGTAACGAGTGATGTGGAAAGTGTACAGTGTAAAGTGCCAGGTGTAGAGTGTGAAGTGTGAAGTGTAAAGTGTATGGTGCGCAGTGTTAAGTGTGAAGTGTAAAGTGCGAAGTGTAAAGTGTGCAATGTAAGGTGTGGAGTGTGGAGCGTCAAGTGTAGAGTGAAGAGTGTGGAGTGTAAAGTGTTTAGTGTAAAGTGTAGAATGTGGAGTGTAAAGTGTGAAGTGAAAAGTGCACAGTGCACAGTGTAAAGTGTAGAGTATAGAGTGTGTAAAGTGAAGAGTGTGGAGTGCAAAGTGCAAAGTGCAAACGGAAGTGTGTGAAGTGTGTGAAGTGTGCGAAGTGTGCGAAGTGTGTGAAGTGTGTGAAGTGTGTGAAGTGTGTGAAGTGTGTGAAGTGTGTGAAGTGTGCGAAGTGTGCGAAGTGTGCGAAGTGTGCGAAGTGTGCGAAGTGTGCGAAGTGTGTGAAGTGTGTGAAGTGTGTGAAGTGTGTGAAGTGTGTGAAGTGTGTGAAGTGTGTGAAGTGTGTGAAAGTGTAGAGTGCAAAGTGAAAAGTGAAAAGTGAGAAGTGAGAAGTGTAGAGTGTAGAGTGTAGAGTGTGGGGTGTGGGGTGTCAAGTGAAAAGAATGAAGTGTGAAGTGTAAAGTGTAGCGTGGATTTTTTCAAAATCAAGTGAAGAGTGTGGAGTGCGAAGTGTAAAGTGTAAAAGGAAGTGTGTGAAGTGTGTGAAGCGTGTGAAGTGTGTGAAGTGTGTGAAGTGTGTGAAGTGTGTGAAGTGTGTGAAGTGTGTGAAGTGTAGAGTGTAAAGTGAAAAGTGAGAAGTGAGAAGTGTAGAGTGTAGAGTGTAGAGTGTGGGGTGTCAAGTGAAAAGAGTGAAGTGTAAAGTGTAGCGTGGATTTTTCAAAATCAAGTGAAGAGTGTGGAGTGCGAAGTGTAAAGTGCGGAGTGTACACTGTAGAGTGCGGATTGTCAAGTGTAAAGTGTCAAGTGTGGAGTGTAAAGTCTAACGTGTATATAGAGTGCAGAGTGTGCAGTGAAAAATGTGACGTGCAGAGTCTGGAGTGTAAAATGTAGAGCCTAGAGTGTAGAATGTACAAGACTGTTGAAATAACTTGTTTCACAAAAGTGTTTTACGTGACTGCATTCGGGTTTGTTGGTTTCTCTTGCTTTTCAATCATCGCAAGTGTATTCAGTAAACACGTAAGAAAAGAAGTACCCATCATTAGCATGCGACATGACATGCCAAACAACCAAGTCAATTTGGGGATCGGCACAGAAAATGCACAGGTTCATGCCAACTAGAAATAGAAATCAGAGGACCTGAAGTTTAGAATGAAGAAGAGACTGAGTTTATCCGCGCGAGCCAGAAAACTATGAATCTGATGATCTGGCCAACAAGGGAGATTAACCGGCAAAAAACTAACAGCGCTGCACATAGGGGATACACTTCTGCTAGTAAGATGTTCATGCACCTGACATTGCGGAAACAGGCAATTTTGAAGTGAGGTTCGCTTGGACTTTAATGTGGAACAGAATTGTGCATCGTATGTTCTTCGATGATGCGGTTAGTGCAAAACGATTCGGCGGTTCATCCATCACATGGATAGATATTTGGTTAATTCGTCTCTACTTCGTAAATGTCCCACAGACACACTGCCAACTTTGTGCAGATAAGATTCAGAACACCCCAGTAACAACCTGAGCGCAGGAAAAAAAAGCTTGTAGAAAGCTCAGCACGACGACGACAACGACGACGAAGCTTAGACATTGATTTCCATCATTAACACCCTCCCCACCATGACGTGATGCCGTTGGCACTACATACTGTAAACGTTGCAAAACAGTAGTACGTTCAGAATCATCTTTGCCCTCGCCCACGACCTCAGCCTCCCTCCCCCTCATCGCCATGAGCGTTCTTGTCATAGATAACGACAAAGGTGCGTATTGTATTGTGACCCCAACGCGTCCGGTTGCAACTATCATCCTCAACGTGATAATCACCAACATGACCACCCCCACCCCCCACCACCACCACCACCGCCACCACCGCCACCACCACCATCATGATTCATAATGATGCTGATACTGCCCTCACAACCAGCACCATCATCACCATCATCATCATCATCATCAGGCACCAGCAGAGGGCACCAGCACTAACAGCGAGCACCAGCAGAGGGCACCAAAATAGCACCGGAAAACATTGCAAAAATTGCTTTGGCTCCACATGAACATACCCAAGACTGAAGGCACTGACAGGTTTCCCCTCTACATCTTTGAGCTGCCTTACACATAAATTCAAAGGAACAAAAAAAGTTGTTTAAAGTGTAAAGGTGGTGCTGTGGCACAACTAAATGAAGATACACTGCAAGATACAGTAAAGTACTGGGTTAGGTTTGCTGCCTACTGGGGGCTGGGAGGCAAGGGGCGACCAGACCTCGACCTCGAGAACTAAAATTGCTAGGCTCCAAAAAACTGTCCGAAACCGAGATTGTTTTTTGAGGACTTTTCTGATGCAAATCTGGTGCTAGCCTGATGCTTTTTTTACTTTGAAAACGGTGCTTTTGTCTCGTATTTTTTCTTCAAAATGGTGCTCCTGGCTGGTGCAAGCTTTGTGCTCAGCTGGTGTTTTTTCTTCAAAATGGCGTTCCTAGCTGGTGCAAACTTTGTGCTCATCTGGCGTTTTTTCTTCAAAATGGTGCCCGTGGCTGGTGCAAAATTTGTGCTCATCTGGCTCTTTTTTCTTCAAAAATGGTGCTCTTAGCTGGTGCAAAATTGTGCTCATCTGGTCCTTTTTCCTTCAAATAGTGCTCCTGGCTGGTGCAAATTTGTGCTCATCTGTTGCTTTTTTGGTGCTTTTTTGGTGCTCTGTCATGGTGCCCTCCTTATGCATTTGATTTAATATTAGTTTTTCTGGGAAAAAATGGTGCTCCTGGCTGGTGCAAAATTTGCGCTCATCTGGTGCTTTTTTTTTCAACATGGTGCTCCTGGCTGGTGCAAAATGTGTCCTCATCTGGCATTTTTTCCTTCAAGATGGTGCTCCTGGCTGGTGCACAATTTTGTGCTCATCTGGCGTGTTTTCTTCAAAATTATGCTCATGGCTGCTGCACTCATCTGGCGTGTTTTCTTCAAAATGGTTCTCCTGGCTGGTGCGCAATGTGCCCATCTGATTCTTTTTTTCTTCAAAATGGTGCTCCTAGCTAGGCTCCTGGCTGGTGCAACATGTGTGCTCATCTGGTGTTTTCCTTCAAAATGGTGCTCCTGGCTGGTGCAAAATTTGCTCATGCTGCCGCAGCAGCGCAGTCGATAGGGAACATGATTTATGGTTGGCTGAAAATCCGGTGCTTTTCTGGTGCTTTTTTGGGCAGATTGTGGTCAAGTTGGTGCAAAATGTGTGCTCACCTTGTGTTCTTTCTCGAGGTTGTGCTCGCAGCTGGTGCCAAGAGAGGAAGGCTGGAGGTGGATGTGCGCGCAGAGGAGATGTGAGGTGATTCGCATCTGAATGTTGGGTGGACGGGTGGTGCGGCACAGGGTGAATTGGTGGAGAAGTTGGCACAAGGTTGGCCAACGAGAAAAATTGACTACAGCAGCCGTTTATGCAGACCATTTTGGGGCTTCATCTTTTCTGGTGCTTTTTATGCATAAGCTTTTAAATGCAAAACCATTTTTGAAGTGTTACTGAGCGGAGGGCTAACCTCACATCATCATCACCATCATCATCACGACCCCCACCATCATCACTACCATCATCCCCCTTTGCGCCTCATCATCGTGACTCTCGCTATCACCATCATCATCAAAATCATCGCCATCATCATCAACAAAATCATCGAAGCCATCAACCTCATCATCACGGGCATCATGATCATCACCCCTGTCATGACCGTTTTCATCATCATTGCTGCAAAAATAATCAACGCAATCTTCTTCTCCTTCTTCTTTGTATTATTCTTTTTCTTCTTCGTGTTCTCCTTCTCTTTCGTATTCTTCTTCTTGGCATTCTTCTGTGTATTCTTCTGTGTCTTCTTCTTCTTCTTCTTTTTCTTCTTCTTCTTCTTCTTCTTCGTGGTCTTCTTCTTCTTCTTCGTCTTATTCTTCTTCGTCTTCGTCTTCGTTTTGGTTTTTGTTATTGTTTCTGTCTTCGTCTTCTTCTTCTTCTTCTTCCTTCTTCGCCTTCGCTTTTTTCTTCGTCTTCTTCTTCGTCTTCTGGTTTTTCTTTGTCTTCGTCTTTTTTCTTCCTCTTTTTGTCTTCTTGCTCGTCATCATCTTCTTCATCTTCATCTTCATTTTCGACAATCTTCACCGTCCCCGCCACCATGACCACAATCATTGTCAGCAGCAGCAGCAGCAGGATCAGCGGCAAGAGCACGGCCATGAACAGCATCAATACAAGAACCCAAGGTTCAACATGTTCGTGCTGCAGGCTACCTCCATGAGCCACACAGCCAAAACATGCAAGAGGCATCCGTAGTCGCCCAGCGCTGCAGCCCCTGACTTGCATACAGCACAGAACACCGGCGCATCACGCAAAGATGAATCCGCAGATGCATTGGCCAGCCAAATCGGCAGCCAAGGTGGCGGCGTGAGCGCTAAAATGGCGAAGGTCCCCTGCAATAGCCATGCAAGCTGCAAGCTCCACATGGCCGAATCCTCCTGACTGCAGGCACGATTGACCTCATCGGCCCGTTCACCCCACCTGCGACGGCAGCGGGGCCTTGCCATTCATCTTTTTGTTGGCATTGCACCCAAGCTTGGCCAACCGCACAGAGGCAGTTTTTTGCCGTGTAAGCAAAAAATGACAATTGCCCCCGCAACAAAAGGACTATTAAAGACGATATGGTCCGGCCAATGCTGGGGAATCAGACCAACCTTCTTTCTACAAATTGTAGACCCAAAAAACAATAAAGCGGGACTTCCTCAGGCCGGAGCTCGCTGACATGATCAATTTGGGGATCATTAATTTTCACTCATGCCACCTATCGAAGTCCCTTTCCATGCATGCATCTTTTGAACTCGCTATCGGCTGCTGCCCTGCAAAGACGCTCGCATTTGCTGGGCAGTTGGCGGGATAAGGTTGAGGCATGCACCCAAGCAGCAACACCTCCGATCTAGTTTCAAGTCAAGGTGCGTTGAGAACGGCAAACTCCGTGAAGCTTATGAAGAACAAGAACAGCAAAACCCAGTGAGCTGAGATGAACCTCACCTCAGAAAAGAAATTTGCTGGATCCCAGTTTGGCAAGAACGCTCAGGCCTAGAATGTTGATACCAAGGAAACCCTTGCAGCCAACTATATCAACCTATTCCTCTCACCCCACCTGGTCAAAGCAGCATTGATTGAAGAAGAAGAAGAAGAAGAAGAAGACAAAAGCGAAGACGAAGAAGAACGAAGAATAAGAATAAGAAGAAGAAGAAGGAGGAGGAAGAAGAAGAAGAAGAACAAGAAAAAGAACAAGAAGAAGAACAAGAAGAAGAACAAGACAAAGACGAAGAAAAAGAAGAGAAGAAGAAGACTCAGAGGGGGAGGAAGAAGAAGACCAAGAAAAAGACCACGAAGAAAACAAAGAAGAAGACCAAGAGGAAGACCAAGAAAAAGAAGAAGAAGCAGACAAAAGAAAAAGGCTAAGAAGGAGGAGAAGAAGAAGAAAGAAGATGAAGATGAAGAACAAGAAGAAAAAGAAAAAAAAGAAAAACAGAAAACAAAGAAGAAGAATAGGAGGAGGAAGAAGAAGTAGAAGAAGAAAAAGAAGGCTTGCGCGCACTTATTCCCAAGTGCTTCGAAGTTACCCAGCTAAAGGATGCTCAAGAATCTGAAGGATGCCAAAGGCATGGCATACAAGACGAAGAAAATTGAAACAAGAAACTTGCCACTTACGGGGGAGCCTCGATCGGCAACCTTATACACTCATCAATTCAACCACTCCCCTTCGTTGCTACATTAATAGCTACTTAGCAGCTGCTCATTAGATCAGGATGGCAAGGAGCAAATGCGCTGAACACTATGGGTTTTCAGGCTTTGCGTCGCTAAGGAAAGATGCTTAGGTGACAATCCCACTGATCACTGGTGGCCGGAACATTGAATGCGCTTGCCAGTTGTGCTGGCAATGACTTTGAGGGGCGCAGCCCGTATTGTCAGGGGTCGTGCCTTGCACCGGACAAACTCTTAAGTAAAACCTACGACAGAAGAATCCCAGAAACACTGGGACACACTGGGGTGGCTGGCGCCAAGCAAGATGCAAACAAAGTATGAATCTAGCAACTTAAAGACACAATTGAGAACGTGCAGTTTTGTGAGGGATATCATTGCTTGGGCTCCAAAATCCGTAGGCTTGGCCGCACACAACCTCCAAGCATCTCATTTTGGACGTCAATCAATTTGGTATTGGGAAGTTGGGAAGGTCCATGTTTTAAAGATGGAGAGCGGTGGTATCAAAATGCCTCCCAGTGACGGGTTCTAGAACTTCTTGCCAACTCACACCATTGGCAATGCTCATGAACAGGCTGAGCATACAACCTGCCAAAGAACCTCAAGCACTCTTCCAACAATTCTGGGCTCGAAAGTGCCACGAGTGCGTTCGTGCGTGTTGGTGTGGAATGTAGCGGTTTTCTGGACAAGGACCCTCACCCACAGTGAACACATGCTGCTCAATTTTCTTATTCTGGAAAAACCATGTCTCAGGGATGGCACCATCACATCACGTAATTGACTAAAGCAATGTGCGGCAAAGGAACCGTAATGTTTCTCACTGGCCCTCACCTGCTCTTCCGGCATCCGCGGCAGCGAGTCATCCGCATTGTAGCCATTCACAACCTCTGGATGTGCTCAAGGCAGCGAACACAAACGGGCCTCTTCCCATGCCCCAGAAAACTTTAGCTGCATGTCTGCATTGCAAATTCCAACAAGGTGACGGTAACAACGTCTGCATCCGACTCGTGGAAGGGCATGATAAAAACTTAACGGCGCATGTCTCGAAGCTTTATGACACATAACACTCGTCACTGTGCCGCAAGCTCACAAACACAGACTTTAAGCTATGTGTTTCAAATTGTTTTTGTTTCGATATCACAAGAGCTCAGTGCAGAACAACCATTTCATGGGCCATCTGGCTGAATGGGCACCAGTCCACTGGAGTCGTTAAACTTGATGGCGGTCAGACATCACTGCACACTGCGAGTGGAGCAGCAGTAAAACTTACAAATCACGGGCACCTAGAAAGAAAAATGTTAGACTTGCACAAATGCCTTGGGGCTTTGTGGTCTTGGCACCGTCAGACTTTTGTGATGCGATTGCTATCTGTCTCTGTGTGGCCTGAACGCTTCCAGTGACAACAACCTGGCCAAAAAATTGACAATCAAAGATTTGTCGTGGGAAATTGATCGCTGCCCAAACCACTCGGATCACCCAAGGCCGGTGAAACCTACCCGCTTCCCATACATGTTCCATAGATAGAGAACGTCGCCGCCCCGCGCGGTGCAACATCCAAGATACTTGAACGAAAATCACGGCAAATATATACCTGAGCGAGATACGCAGCTCCAAACCAAGATTCGGGAACTACGCCCCCAAAAAAAAGAACGTTTTTGGGCCCACACATCCGGAATGCAAGAGCTCCTTACATGTCAAATACGCCCACACTTGCATTACACTAGCAAAAATCAAGTGTAGCCGCTGACAACCCTGGGTAAGTTGAAAATGCCACCACCGACGCTCAACGCCCACACTTGTTTGAGTCCCCTAACGTCCGCTGAACCAAGAGGGTGCCACAACTAGCTCGGCTTCCCAGCCCACAAGACATTCAACACACTGTTCACAATTGGAAAAATCACGTTTCGTCTCTCAGCAACCTCGCACAAGAACTTTCCATGACACAGTGCCACCACACACCTGCCAAATACCCGCAACAATTGGTTAAGTGTTCTTCCTTTGTTCTGTTGGTGTCCTTCTCCTTGTGCTGCCTGTGTCTCGTTTTTGCGTTTGCGCTATCTTCTCTCTTCTGGGTCCTTTTCTCTGAATTATTATTTTCTTCTGTGAATCATGTTTCTTTTGTGTGCTTGCTGTTCTGGGATTTACGTTGAATGTGGGACCGTGACACTGTTTTATTTAATTAAGTTCAAAGCCAGCTGCTTCTACAGGTAGTACCCGGGCAAGCCAGTGGCGGAAGTTTCAAAGATAAAAGACGTATAGAGCAAAAGAAAGACTGTGCCAATAGGATGTCACGACCCCATGCGGGTTGAATAAACCATCTCTCAACATCTCCGTCGTCTGACATATCTTTCTTTTCCTGTCACGTCCTTCCTTCCCTTCGTGTGACATCATTTTCTCTTCTCCTCCCGTTTTCTTGACGTCTCTTGCTCTTGGCATCTCTTTTTCTTGATGCCCCCTTCTCACGTCAGCTCTTTCTCGTGAGATTTTTTTTCCCTTGGCCACTTTTTACCTTGACACCTCCAAGATGCGATGTGCAAGCAGAAAAGTGCAAAAGAGCCTAGAACTAGATACACGGCTCCCAGGCTGAGCAACATTGATTGACGCAGCCGCCCCCATGCGAGTTGCCACTAGACAGCCGGAAAAGCCGGCTAAAACTATGTGCGACGCAGCAACACTCATCAACATCGTCGCAGCCGCCCCCACGCGAGTTGCAAGCAGCTAGCAGCACAGAAAACTCAACCACTCCAATGTGATTTGCACTCGTGCAGTTGCAAAACACAACAGGACTTTCTGGTCCAAAGTCCAAAAGCTCTGGAAACTGCGACGTCACGTCCAACAACAGGAGCAGGGTCCGAAAATTGCTAAAGCCGGGCCCGCACCGGTCGTGCGGAGTGAGGGTAGCAGCCGCCAGAACCACGACAAGAAAATTGCAAACCACGGCAAAACAAGGGCCGCAACCATGGCAGGACAGAGGCCGTAACCACGACATAGCTACCAGTAGTACCGCACAAGGCGGTGGCAGAAGCTTCAGAAATAGGAAACCTATAGGAGAGGTTGGTCGTTGTGAATCACGGATGGCAGAGCGAATCCACTGATGGACCGAAAGGTGGTTTTGGAATTGCATTCTTTAGAATTCAGAATGGCTGCAATGGTTGCAGTGGGCACCTGGTTGGTCACCTCACCCACAACTGCTGGATGTAGTGTGGTGTAGTGCAGCTGTAGTCGTAGTTGTAGTGTAGTGGAGTTGTAGTTGTGGTGTAGTGTGATTAGTGTAGTGTAGTTGCAGTTGCATTTGTGGTGGTGTAATGTAATGTAGGGTAGTGTAGTGTAGTCTAGTGTAGTGTAGTGTAAAGTAGCATAGTTGTACTTGTAGCTGTAGTTGTAGTTAGTGTAGTGTAGTGTGGTGTGGTGCGGTGTGGTGTAGTGTCGTGTAGCGTAGCGTAGTGTAGGGAAGTGTGATTGAGTATAGTTTAGTGTAGCGTAGTGGAGTGTGGGGTAGTGTAATGTAATTCGTGTAGCGTAATGTAGTTGTAGTTTTATTTGTAGTTGTAGTTGCAGTTGTAGTTGTAGCTGTGGCGGTAGCGTAGTCAAGTGTAGCGTAGTGTCATTGAGTGTAGTGTAGTGTAGTGTAGTGTAGTGGAGTGCAGCGTAGTGTAGTGTGATGTAGTGTAGTTGTAGTTGTAGTAGTAGTTGTAGTAAGTGTAGCGTAGTGTAGTGTAGTGTAGTGTAGTGTAGTGTATATAGTGTAGTGTATATAGTGTAGTGTAGTGTAGTGTGGTGTGGTGTCGTGTAATGTAGCGTAGTGTGGTGTGGTGTGGTGTAGTGCAGTGTAGTGTAGTGTAATTGAGTATAGTTTAGTGTAGTGTAGTGGAGTGTAGTGTAGCGTAGTGGTGGTTGCAGCACAAAACCCTCACGTTTTGCTCACTTTTGGCAGGTGCGGGATCCCTTGCGCCTGCCACGCAAAACGACATCTGAACGTCCAAAAGTGCTCCGTACCCCTCAGTTTCTTACACGTTTGACTTGGAAATGTGCTTCGCGCCACAACGGCGTACACTTTTCGACAGCGCAACTTCCCAAAGTGCTCCGACACAGAGGTGCTTTGTACATTTTGACTTCCAAATGTGTTTCGCGCCCCAACGGCGTGCACTTTTTTCGACATCTCAGCTTCCAAAAGTGGTCCGACGTTGGTGTGCTTTGTACATTTTGACTTGGAAACGTGCTTCGCGCCACAACGGCCTGCACTTTTTCATCTCTCACCTGACCACATGGCTCTGCACCCGCCGCCTTAGCGAGCCTACTTTTCGACCCTCCGGAGCCACAAATCATTGGAAAAACACAGTGTTTCGCGACTTTGCTGCCTATTCGCGCACCTGCATCTTCTTTCCTCTGACTCTTTCTCTTCTCTGATCTTCTCTCTTCTGCTCTTCTCTTCTCTGACTCTTCCCACCTCTGCTTTTTCATCTGTCCATATTGTCGGAAGTTTGACTTCTAAACTTCCTTCGATTAAGCTTTCGATTGGGGAGCATTTTTGCTCTAGAATCCCAAATCCTCTGTAATTCCACGTTCATTAAAGGCTAAAATCGGCTAAGTTGCCAAACTTGGGCTCAAGATGGCCCAACATGCGCCCAAAATGAGCCCACATAGGCCCAACATGGGCCAACATAGGCCCAACATGGGCCCAACATGAGCCCAACATGGGCCCAAAATGGCCCAACATGCTTCAGCATTCAGCATAGGCCCAAAATCGCCTAACATGTCTCAACATAGGCCCAACATTGGCCCATCATGGCTGAACATGTGCCCAGCACGGCCCAACACAGAGCCAACATGGGCCCAACATTACATACCCCCAACATGCGCCTACAGAGGCCGAACATAGAATACATGACATATGGTTTTACTTATTGGAACTCTGCCCAACATTAACCTCCATGTGCGGGCGGTTGTCGTCGCAAGCGACGATAATATAAACCAAGGCAAGGTTATAAAATAAAGGAAGCTCCTTTGTTTCTGAAAAGGGGCGCCTTTGTTTCCTTGGTTTCTCCTCTCCAGCTGGCCCCGACCAAACAAAGTGGCGCCTTTGTTTCTACAAAGGGTCGCCTTTGTTTCTCTTCTCCAGCTGCTGGCTCCAGCCAAACAAAGGCTTTTTTTTCTCAGCTGCCTCTGGCCATACAAAGCCCCTCCTTTGTTTCTACAAAGGGCCGGCCTATCATCCCATCCAACGAAAGCTGCAATGGAAACTCGGCCCTTTGTGTCTCCTCTCCAGCCAGAGCCGCCTCTGTTTCTCTTCTCCACCCCTCTCCCTTCGCTTCTCTTCTTGAGCCAGCCCCCACCAAACAAAGGGCCGCCTTTGTTTCTCTTCTCCAGCCAGCTCGGGCTGAACAAAGGTGGCCCTTTGTTTGTCTGGAGCCAGCTGAAGAGAAGAAACAAAGGAAACAAAGGTGGCCCTTTGTGGAAACAAAGGGGGCTTCTTTGTTTTATAATGGTATTTTTCCTTGTCGTGCTTGCGGCCTGAGTCTTGTCGTGGTCAATTGTTCTTTGTCGTGGTTAGGGACCTCCTCCCAAAACTGTCTTGCAAGACATACAATTTCGCGCGCCCACTGTCTCTCAAAAACGGAATTCGTGCAAGACCTCCTCCCAAAACTGCAAGTTGCAGTAGTGAAAACAAAGCTTTCGTGCGAGACTTCCTCCACAAGCCTTAGGTTGAAGTAGTGTAAACGAAGCTTTCTCTTCTCTTCTTTCCTCATCTCTTCTCTGGTCTTCTATCTATTTAGGGGTCCGGACCACAGAAGTTTCCCTCCTAAACTTCCTTTGATCATGTAACGTCCAGACCCAAACAAGGGGGTCTTCATGTAAGGTGTTGTCAAGGCTAAGTGCCGCATCAAAGTACACTGTGTCTAATGCCATGCGTGTTCATCCGTGGGTTCACTACACCGAAAAAGCCCACAGCAAAGAATGTTTACAAATCATCACACAGAGTGGCGATGCAAAGTTTAAAAGTTCGGCAAAGTGCAAAAAATAAACACCATAATTACCACCCTAACCTGGCTTAGATACACAATGAGAAGCAAGAGCAAAAGCGCCCACATCAACGATTTCACTGTGGAGACGATGGATGTGACCAGCGTCCTGGCCGCCAAGCATAGCCTGATGGGGTCCGGGGGGTCCGGGGCTTTCAAACCACAGAATGGTACTTGACTCGATTACTTTTGAAATCTCGATGAGCTCATGATGAAACCTATGTCCCAAATCAGATACATTACAGAAAGAAATTGCTGTCAATGCAGTCCCCAGTTCAGAGGTGAATCGCTCCAAGTATGTTTTTGACATCCCCAACTGTTTCATGTTCGACAATGTTGGACTCTTGTCAAGGCTGTGAAAGCTGCTCCACCCATGGCACCAACACAACCTGCTCAGAGTCCTCAGCGCCATAACAAAGCGCAGGATCCGGACGAACTGCATCGTCTTCAGTATCCTCCAAAAAGAACACATGAAACGATTTGGGATTGGCTCATCCTTGGGGGAGCTGCTTTGATGACTTAAATCGGCTTGAAAATGAAACAGTTTGACTCATTATATATATATATAAAGAAATAAATAAATGAATAAATAAATAAATCAATGCATACATACATACATACATACATACATACATACATACATACATACATATATACATATATAAATACTTACATACATACATACATTACATTACATTACATTACATTACATTACATTACATTACATTACATTACATTACATTACATTACATTACATACATACATACATATATATATATATATTTAAAATGTATATATATATATATATTAGGGGACCCAAGTTCTTCGATACGTCACTTTTATGTTCAAAATTGTGGTTTCGCTGTGCTAATATACTCATTTATGTTTTTTCTTTGCAACTTCATGTTTGACGGACGATGATTTTTCGTCCGTTGAAGTTAAATTACACGATGCACCATTGACTCGGACCTCTATTGTCACATTGATGATGTTCCCTGGGTTTTTTGCGTTTTGTGCTTTAGCATATCCATTTGTACGTGAACAAAGTGTTAAATTCGCTGAGAAACGCCAGTCAAGATGAGCAGGCCATTCTTGCATTGGTTTTTGCAGTGTTTTCTAAGGTTGTCAACCGAGCAGCATGTTGATAGTCAAATGTTTTGTCTTCTACTTGCACTTCTTTGTTCTCATGTTCTGTGTGCAACTTCTTTCTAACTGTCCCACGGTGCGTGAGGATCCTCACCTACCCACCCCATCCCAACCCCATGCGTGACGTAGCACATCCTCAGCATAGCATCATATGTCTGCATACATGCAAATGAACGTACGACAGCGTAGCATCACATCTGTGCGTAAGTATCAGTGAACGTCATTGCCCCACCCCACCCCACCCCCCTACCCCACCCTACCCCATTGGAGAAGTAGGGGCGCCTCGGATATATATATATATTGACATATATATATATATTGACACACATCTATATATATATGTATATATATACTGTATACTGTATACATACATAATATATATATATGTGATGTATGTATGATATATTTGTATGTATATTATTTGAACCCCTACTTTTTCCGGCTACCAAAGGGTGTAGCCAAGGTGGTGAACCATGGATCCTAACTGCTGAGAACATCTGAGTATATCCTAGTGAATCATGTTGAAGGTCTCTCTCCGTCCCTTCATCCCTCGGTCAACATTTCTGACGGGGGGAATGGTACCCGAGGGTATGCAAAACTTGATGACTCTCTTTCAATCCGTCCTTTGCCGGTCCCCCTCTGAATAATGGAGTCAATCAATCTGTCCGGGCCTGCCTGTCTATCTGTCTCCCTATCTGTCTCTGTCTTTGTCTCTGTCTTTGTCTCTGTCTTTGTCTCTGTCTCTGTCTCTGTCTGTTAAAACTCGCTGGTCGCTTGCATTGGGTAGGAAGGGACATTAAAATAAAGATAGCAATGTCGCGGCAAACATCAATGGTTTTGAACCCGCTGGTGCCATTGTTCTTGATTGCGGGCGGCTCATGCTGCTTGTGACAACAAGCACCAAAAATAAATCTTCAAGTATTCATACTTTGCACAGCCTACCTGGCCTACCTTCTGTCCTCATGCGACTGTGTGTTGCAGTGGTGAAAGTACCTAGCAATCCTACGTCATCGTGGTAAGTAGTACTTTCTGCCGCAAAGTATGGTCAGAGTGACATCGCAAACCTTGGCCCGACTCATCAGATATTTTCCTTCTAGCAGTGTGGGTGCTGGTTGCGTTTCAAAATCTGGATGGGAACGATGGACTGACACCCACGATCGATCTAGGACATGTATCTTGAGAACCATCCATTCAGCGATTCTATAGTACTACTTTTGACAAGTTGACAAGGATCTTACACACAAAATGTTGAATATGTTTGCTTCGATCATGGCTTTGTAACTGTGGAGTTTTGTTGGCGATGTAGAGATAATTTTTCCGGTAAACTTCCAAAGAACCCCTTGGCAATTCATTTCCATGTTTCCCCTCTGCTGTCAGCACTGTGCCTAAGATACATCATTCGGTGCATTTGTTTCTATACATGCCTTGCCGTGCAAATACATTGTTCATTCGCAACCGCATGCGCAGGGTTATAAAGACAAACATTCGCCAGAACCCCCCATCAGCCAAAACAACCCGCGTTTCCAGGTCGCACTTTTAAGAAAGCACCACACGGATCCAAACAGAGCGAATTGTCCAAATTGGCATCTTGATGCATCTTGATGCATCTTGAACTGTCCTATCCCCACATATCCCCACTGTCCTCGTGAGGCGAAGGAATCGAAACACCTTTGGTGCGTGTCGGCGGCCAGGAGTCGGGTCGAAATGTCTGAAAATCTCTGGTCAAATCAAGAAATGATGTTTGGACAGACTGAAACATCATGAATCATTATGGTACATCGGTACATGACAAATTTCGAGAACATGGAGTTCAAATCAACTTCCTTTAGCCGTCTTGATCTACGTATAGATCAAATTGTCAAATATAGGTCACATATTCTGGATTCACATGGTTACCAACCCTGCGCCCAGCCCCACGCCTTCATCCCAGACAAACCAGCCACAGATTCCACATCTTGACGCACGCCAAACCTCGCCACAGTGAACTCGCTGCAAGGGACCCCGGTTCATCCGTCCAATCTTTACTTTAAAACATGTTTAAACTATTCATCTACGTCCAAGAAATCTAGGGGCGAGCCGAAAAATATGTGTCTGTTTCTCATCCATGGATGCTTTTGATCAATCACCTGCAATGGCAACCTTCCAAGGTCCGAAGTAGGCGTGTTGTTGAGGTGTTAGTCTATGGTGAACCATTGCTCCCTTGACAACTATCTTATCGCAAGTTTGGCTTAAACCGAGGTGGTAAAAAAAGGACAAAACAGTACCTAAAACACAAGCCATCAGGAAGATGCGTCTCCCAACATGCAATTCCTCCATCAACCCATCAACCTGTTTGGGAGCTCCCAGTACTCGTACATAATCTCAACATAGAGCTGGCTTTGACCGGCCACCCCATCTTGACGGCTCTTTGACGGCACTTTTCCATGTAGCCGGTGACCATGCTACAGTGTTACAGCTTACCACACTTTGTCACAACAATCTACTCACCAAACAAACCTTCGAAACATTTCTACACTCTTGGCCAAATCCCTTGCAAATGACTGGTATCGGAATGGCTGCTGCTAAGTGGCGATTGCAGGAGGTCAGTTACAACATCCCAAACGGATGCCTTGGCGGAAACGATGAAAAACATATAGTTAGTATAGTCAAAATATGTCAAAACTGATGGAAGCAAGATGAAAGAGGGCTGAAGTTGGGACTGGTGCTGACTGCTCTGAGGCTTTCGGTTGGGCTGCAGGGTCCTCTATGTTCAAATGCTTCCACGCTAGATCCACTGTGGGATTAGGCTGCACTGATAGTCACTGATTCTATTGGTTGGATTTGTGTCTGACATTGCCAAGGTGCGACCACAATAACAGAATCCAACATGTTCCACATCCAGTTCTCATCGCAGAAAAACCACCTGTTCGTCGCAGACATTAAGGCCGTGCGTCCACCCCGACACCCTGAGTCAGTTGTCGATACGGAACATCTCTATTGGGAGTTGTTGGGAGTTGTTGGGAGTTGTTGGGAGATGAAGCCCCAGCCTGCCACTGGCACTGAGTCTCAAGATCAGCTCCACGAGAAAGAGAATCGAAAAAATGATGTTGAAGACCTGCGCCAAGACCATTCTCGAATGAGTCGCATGGCATCCGGTCCGATCTGTCCGTGCTGTCTAAAATATTGCCTAGCTACACACTTCGACAATGTCTGGACATGTCGACATCGCAAACCTGTCTCTCACCCAGCACACGCGTTCACCCTGAGCAGCCTGTAGCTCCCACGGTCTTGGGCCTGTCACACAGGGAAACTAACAGCCTGCAGCAATGGTTCACACCCCCATCTTCCAAACATATTGAAAATATAGAAAAGCAAAGTGACTATGTCCCCAGTTTTGAGATTTGTTGTCATATCGCTCCCATTATTTGAAAGGTGAAAGGGACCAGGAGCATGCAGGAGTTATATAATCAATTATAATTAATTATTAATTATTATATAAGGTCAATGTCCCATGAGATCAAAGTGTATCACAATGGATCACTGATGGACTCCCAATCGTTTGCCCCTTCCGCTTTGTGTAGCCAGGTTTCACGGGTTTTTGGTGTTGGCTGCCATTATCGTTGTAGGCGACGTCAATCAATACATTCAAAACTGCCATCTAACGATCGATACGTGAATATGGATGGACAAGGGCTAATATGTAAACAAAAAACGAGAAATATATGTAGGGAGAGCTAACGCAGAGCTGACGGAGTGTCATATCCCCAAGGGAAAGTCTGTTCGGTCGCCTTGGTAATGCAAACTTGTCTCGGTATCGATCCCGATGAACACTGCCTGCCAGAATGGTCGAGCCGCTCACTATGACCAGCGACCGACCAGTGACCGACCAGTGACCCATAGGGTTTACACTTAGAATAGTCATTTACAATTCGTTTTCTCCTATCTACATGGTCCTTCATGGTTTCTCATCGAACGAACTTCAAGGTGAGACCAAATGGTGGATTGATATCGGTGTATAGTATAAAGGATTGCAAATCTATATTGTATTAAAAACATGTTTACCTATCACGGGCGGGGGTATCCAGGTGTGGATTTATACCTGGTAGGTCAAATTTGTTGCAGCCATCTCAGACCCGCATGGGCGTCATTTCGGACATGAAAACATCCACTTTCACCAACTGATGGGGCCAACAACAGACTCAATAGAATCACTGGAGGAATCACTAGATGGTCATTACAATTAGACAATTCTTGCAATTCCATTCTGAATGGATCACACCGATGGTCATCCCATTGAAACAGAAAACCTTTCACAACAGCCTCAATGGGACCTCAATGGGATCATTGGGAAGCCCTCTGCAAATTTCCGTACCGGCCCTTTCCCTCCAAAGGCGCATTCAGCAACACTATGAAAGCGAAGACAGCTTCAAAGGAAGGATGGCTTACCTGCAGTGATGGCAGATGTACCAACCACGGGTCCCCAAAAGTCCTGGACTTTGGCCAATCCTGACCTCCTGAAGAAACATTAGCCCTGGAATTCTCCGTGAAAATTAAAAACTTTGTGAATGACAAGCAATGAGCATTCTGTGTCCCAAACAGGTTGAAAGAAAGAGGAGCAAACAGAATTCGCAAATTCATTCGTCAAATTCGACCGAAAAGGAGGGGAAAAGTCATGGAGCCAAAGGTGCCATTTTTTGCAGCACCAGTCTCGAACGATTGTGCGGAATGTCCTGGCCGGGAAAAGGAAACTTGACCAATGTGTCCAATGTAGAACCGGTAGGACAGCAATCCTGATCAATAAATATTAATAATAGGATATAGTAGGTATAAAACTAAATGGTGGTGCAACCACATGCTAGTGGTCGTTCAAGAAATGAGTCGGAGCACTAAAAACCAGCACCAATGATATCTTGCGATACAACGGCTGCAGGTGCAGCCTGCCTCCCAATCCGAAACCATGTCACAAATTAACAACTGAGGAACCCTATTTGAGCAACAACCCCAGGCATCATGGGTCTAACCTGGAGGATACGAACATAGCAACAGAAATCCACTGTCTTGACTGGTTGGAATCCTTGGTTTCCTGTCACCTCCCTTTACCAGTGCCACTATTGCGCTGCTACAAGTCGTCCTCGTTGCCAACAACCAGATCGATCAATGCTCTATTAAGAAACAACTCATGTCTAGATGGTTTACGTTGTGCCATGTATGCATTATTTATAATATGATTAGATATATAAACTATAAACTATGTGTCTATGTACACAGATACAAATGCATACAGTGATACACAGTGAGTACATAGTTATACATATATACATATATACATATATACATATATACATATATATATAATGTATGTATATAGCATGATTACATCCAGATACCCCTGGAAATTGAGGGGATTTCCACAGATGTTCCACTTCCTCTCCGCACCACCTTGGCGTTGTTGGAGGATTTCTCGGAGAAGCGTCTCCGTTGCACGGAGCCAGTGGCGGTCATGGCACTGTCACGGAGTTGCATCTCCTGCGCTGATGTTGAAATTTCGAGGATGGATATATGATATACCTATACATGTGGTAAAGAAGAAAGATAGATAGATGACTTGAGAGGGGGGGGACGAAAGGTAGGGGGGGAAAACACAGGAGGGAGAGGCAAGAGAAGGTGCGACTGTTTGTAACGCAAGCACGCCGACGACGACGACGACGACTACTACTACGACGACGACGACGACTACTACTACTACTACTATTACTACTACTACTACTAATACTACTACTACTACGACGGCTACTACTACGACGACAACGACTACTACTACTACTACTACTGCTACTACTACTACTACTACTACTACTACCACTACCACTACCACTACCACTACCACTACCACTACCACTACCACTACCACTACCACTAACACTACCACTACCACTACCACTACTACACTACCACTACCACTACCACTACCACTACCACTACCACTACCACTACCACTACCACTACCACTACCACTACCACTACTACTACTACTCCTACTGCTACTACTACTACTACTACTACTACTACTACTACTACTACTACTACGCCCAGGCCCGTTACACTTTACATTCAATTGGGAAGATCAACAAGGGTATTAGGGAATATTAAACTCCCACCCCGTTAAACTTTACATTCAATTGCGAAGATCAACAAGGGTATTAGGGAATATTAAACTCCCACCCCCGTTAAACTTTACATTGAATTGGGAAGATCAACAAGGGTATTAGGGAATATTAAACTCCCACCCCGGTTAAACTTTACATTCAATTGCGAAGATCAACAAGCGGATTCATGACTTCGTGGAAATTGCGTTGAAGAGTTTGCCGATTTCTAACGTTAGATGTATAAGGTAGGCATTTTGGACAAGAATCGGTTGGAAAGAAACTTTTGGAGTTTGAAAAGCTCACCCAAGCAGCTGGAATGTTTGTGTGCTTGTTGTTGGTGAATCGTTATTCTTGTAGGTATACCGTGTTGTCAGCACGCGGACTCATTGGACGGGCCTCCAGGGAGTCGACTGAGCTAGTTGTTGACGCTGTGGAGGCGCTTCCGCCACGTCTACATAAAGTATCGTTTTTTGTTCTGTACACTGACGTTCCGAACTCCGAATACGTGGACCCGGTGGAGGGGCCTCCAAAGGGTCAACCAAGTGAGGGGTTGACTCTGTGGAGGCTCTCCCACCGGGTCCACAGAAACTAGTGTTTTTGGTTAGTTGTTGACTTTGTGATTTCTAGCAAGTTTACATAAAGTCCAACCGGGTCCACAGAAACTAATGTTTTTGGTTAGTTGTTGACCTTGTGATTTCTACTAAGTATACATAAAATATCGTTTTTTGTTCTGTACAATTACGTTCCGAACTCCGAATAGGTGGGCCCGGTGGAGGGGCCTCCAGAGGGTCAACCAAGTGAGGGGGTGACTCTGTGGAGGCTCTCCCACCGGGTCCACAGAAACTATTGTTTTTGGTTAGTTGTTGACTTTGTGATTTCTAGCAAGTTTACATAAAGTCCAACCGGGTCCACAGAAACTAATGTTTTTGGTTTGTTGACTTTGTGATTGTCTAGCAAGTTTACATAAAGTCCAACCGGGTCCACAGAAACTAATGTTTTTGGTTAGCTGTTGACCTTGTGATTTCTACTAAGTATACATAAAGTATCCTTTTTTGTTCTGTACAAGTACGTTCCGAACTCCGAATACGTGGACCCGGTGGAGGGGCCTCCAGAGGGTCAACCAAGTTAGGGGTTGACTCTGTGGAGGTTCTCCCACTAACAAGGGTATTAGGGAATATTAAACTCCCACCCCAGTTAAACTTTACATTGAATTGGGAAGATCAACGAGCGTATTAGGGAATCTTAAACTCCCACCCCCGTTAAACTTTGCATTCAATTAAGAAGATCAACAAATGTATTAGGGTATATTAAACTCCCACCCCCGTTAAACTTTACATTCAATTGCGAAGATCAACAAGGGTATTAGGGAATATTAAACTCCCATCCCCGTTAAACTTTGCATTCAATTGGGAAGATCAACAAGGGTATTAGGGAATAGTAAACTCCCACCCCCGTTAAACTTTACAATCAATTGGGATGTTGATGATGTTGATGATGTTGATGTTGTTGCTGATGATGCTGATGATGATGATGATGTTGATGAAATGAGGGAAAATTCGTCATCCGTTTGCCCAAACGAAATACACGGGGAATCTCACAAAACATTGGCCCTGCGCAGTCAAAACGCACTTTCCCGGGCAGCACATCCGTCCTGGCCGTAGTACTACTACTACTACTACTACTTCTACTACTACTACTACTACTACGACTACTACTACTACGACGACGACGACTACGACTACGACTGCTACTACTATCATTCGTATGGCACGTATCTCACTAGAATTTACCAAAGAACAGAAAACATCATTTTT